AGGAAAGATTAAAGTACCACCTGATTCTTCAGCTTTATTGTATGCATTAACTGACCACACTGTGGCACATAAAATCCAATTACATACTATAATGTAACTGCTGTTTATTTTATGATTAGCATAGTTTATGAATGTGAATCAGTCTATTTTAATCAGTGCAACAAAGAAAATAATGCTGTTTTCTATGCTGGTATCCCAAATATTTATATGAAAATAAGCAAACGCCTTGCAGGCTTAGAGGTCACTAATTGTGATTACTAAATACCTCTTCTCAGGCAATACCCTTATCATTAAAGAAAATGCTTAATTAGGCAGAATTGAGCGGCTATAATTTAAAAGGAAAATTGAGAAAGGTATTGCAGGGTGCCTGTATTAAACGTACAGCAAAAAATAAAAGTGTATTTCCAGAATCTTAACCCCTTCCGTGCCCCTTCTGTTGTTTTTTCCCCCTTGGTTTGCTAATGCAGCTGTGAACTTTTTCTGTCATTGAGAGTCCTTCAAGGGATTCCATCAAGGAAGATGGCATTTGAACAGACCAGTATGAAACTACTCATACGTGATCTGCTGCCGTTGACCTCTGTTCGATTTTTACTTTCTGAAATGTTTCAAGATTGATTGGTGAAAATTTTTACTTTTCATCACATTTTGAATAATGAGATGCTGTCTAATTCTTGGTGATATATTTCAGCTATTAACTTTCTGCTTGTTGAAAAGAAATCGGAATACTTTCAGTTCTGAAGTTTGAAGGCATTGTGATTCTGTCTGATGTTAATGCTGTCTGGAGATTTCTGTGACCAATTACTTCCCTGAATGCCATTCTATGCTGCCATTTCTTTAGTGTCCCCGATTTATCTCTCAGAGCCTTTATGACTTTACGTTTAGCTGTTATGGAGAAGCAGAGCAGGTCATGTGGTTACCCAGAGGCATTAGTATGGTAATTTTCTTCAAGTTGAGTAGGTGGAAATAATTAATGGACCGCTTTATTGATGTACATAGATAGCCGATTCTCTCTGTGGTTTCAATTCCCAGCTTCAATAAAGTAGCTTGAGATTTTATCTGAGGGACCAGTAATTACACAGGACAAGAATAATCACTGCACAAATACAATTTGATTGTGTTTTATGCTGTTGCCAGGGCTGATGTTAAAGCTTAAATGTATAAACAAGGAACTGCTGCATTAATAAGTTGACTCTTCGTATTTAAGCTCACAGACTCTGGAGTAACTTAAATTCAGAAAATCTGTGCTCTTACAAGAGGAGGCTCCAATCTTAGCGTAACACAAATAATTTCACTGTCTCACCTTGACTTCATCTTGTGCTATGGACAGTGACCAGAAGCAGACTCCTTGGGGAAGATAAGCGCCTTCTCAGCTGTACTTCCTTTCGCTTCCAGGAGGATATTGAGGCATTCCCCAGTTCAATGATATCTGCAAAGCCATTTTAATTAACATTTGATGGAACATCAATGAATTTGCAATCACCTTATCCTGTTTATAGGAGTGACAGCAAAACAAACTCTAACAGGCAGCTCAATTTTTCAGTCCTGTTTTTTGGGGGGGTGGTAAGGACAAAGCTACTTCCACGTGTCCGTTTGTCTGTAGCCCTGCAAGGAGACCCCTGAAGGACTCTTTAAGGAGGGCTCTTTAAAAATGAAATGATATTTGCGACTTCTCATCCCTGTGAGACAGCACAGATTTAAATGACGACTCTGACAATTCAAGCCACCATGGTATTCAGCCATGATTTCTGACTGACTCCAGTGAATTTGTTTGTTTTATCAGTTTATATTAAAAAACATTTTTCCAGTGCTTGAATTGGAGGCAGTTTCTCAGATTCGTTCCCCATAAAGAAGGTCCTGTGTGGGAACATCCCTAGGCACCTCTGTAAGCAGTAAGGAAAAGAATTGATAGAGCTTTGCTCTGTGTTATCTTTCATGTGCTTCTTTTACAACTTCATCATCAGGTGGCCCTATAGACACGGGCAGGATCCTTGCCTCTCACACACTGGGAAAAAGTTATTAGTGGTTTTTATGCCGTTAGAAAATTGTTCCTCAGTATCTTTTGACTTGCTTTACTTTAGTTTTATACCTAACATGTCAGAGTTTATCATATTTTCCATTTTTTCTTCTTCGGACACCATTTTTTGAAGGATCTTCTCTTCTAGCTGCCTTCTTTCTTTTTCTGATGAAGCTTTCTGGCTTTTCCCTGTCAGTACTTAAAGACAAGCTCAGCATAAAAAACACCTAATTTTGATTAGATTCCAGTCATCCTGGTGCCCATTTTATGGTTGTTCTGTTCTTTTTAAACAAGCCAACCAAGCTTCTTCATTTTCAGGTGGTTCTTAATTAGATTACACAAAAATCCACCATACGAGGGTTTTTATTCATATGAAAAACAAGGAAATTCAGTATAGTATGAAATCTCCTACACAGACTCTCTTTCCTACAGACACTTCTTAAACTAGAGCCCCTGCATTGCTCAGATCTAAATCAGAGGTTGTTCCTTCAGGGAAAGTTTTGCACAGCAAACATTCTGGAGCAGTTTTACACACACAAGCCCACCTACCACCAAGTGCTCTACACCCAGAGCCAGGGGTGCCAAGAAGTGCAGAGTTGTTTCCCCCTGTCCAAGTGATGCTTCTGTCCCTTCTGAGCTAGATCAAGTTCTTTTTTACAGTAAGTGCCTCACAGCAACTCTTCAGAAAGCACCTCAAAAATTCCAGTTAAGAGCAAGATGCAGGAACAGAACAGGACACAATGCAGAAACTTCTGTGTAATTCAGTTCTCCATAGCCAGAGAAATTATGTGGGAGACAAGTCTTAACTGTCACAGCCATTTCATCACCTACACCTTTGAGTCCAACATCATTTTTTACTACGATGAAGTAGTATTTAGGATGTAGAGCACATCCCTCTGATCCCATGCTACACAACCTCTGCCCCCTCTCCCAACACAGAGCTGCTGCACCCTTAGAGATGCTCAGAAGCCGCCTGGAGATGAGTGGCTCCTCCTGAGCAGGGAGGTTGGATGAGGTGACCTCCAGAGCTCCCTTCCAGTCTCATCCAGTCTGTGGCTGTGTGACATGGATGTGCACTGCTGGATGTCCAACACACGCTGTGGGCAGCATGAGTACAGTCTGTGAGTTCATGGCACATACAGAAGGGCACCTTATTGGGCACTCTTCCTTCTCTTTTCCTCTTGAGATGTATTTATTCAGGCAAATATTGGTGTATCAGTGGGAGAATAGCATTCAACCCTGACTGTATTGTTCTAGCTGTTGTTACGCATAGGTTTGGTAACAGCCTTCAAAATCCCACGTTCAAGCACGTTCATACATCTCAATAAAACTTCTTCCCAGTAAATTGGAAGAAATTCTGTTAGGAGAAATGTGAAGACATGACACTGGTCAGGGCAAAACTTGTCACCTTTTGTCTGTGTAATGTGCTGAGAAGCAAGCTCAAGCAATGTAAGTTTAGGATGATTTATAAAGATAGAGATGACACGATCACTATATAGCAAGTTCTGGCAGAATGACCAGTAGCTTGAGAGCCCTGTTAAACGAGGTCATAAACTGCTGTGTGGGCTGCATGCAAACCAGCTTGGAAAGGAGCTCCTGTGTGATGCAGGTGCCAGGCTGCTGTCAAGAATGCTTCAGAAGTCCACACACAAAGGTGCATTGCATCCCCACTCATATGTGACTGGATTTCTACGGACACACAGTGCAGGTAACTGTGGTGAGGGAGAAACTATTTCATTAATGACTTAGTCTCTACTAGAACATTGCCTGATGGAACAAAAGCTGAAATAACAAAAGAACAATATTTTGCTGCTTTCCGCCTAGTAGAATCTTGTCTTCTAGTTAACCTGGAATAATAGAATAATGACTATTTTGCTATGTTTTCCTAGATTCAGCTACTAATTTCTTTAGACTAGACAGTGAATTTGGCACTCATTTTTAATTTAAACCTTGATGTTCTACATAAATACTTCTGGAAATTCTTCATTGTGCTTCTGAACACTTTTCTAATACTCTGAGCATCTAAGAAGCAACACTAATCACTTTAATATAATTAGTGATTAATATTGCACAATGTCACTATCCACTGGTTAACCAAGGTGTTCAGTCACCCTTAGGTCACCCATAATTAATTAACCTTCACTTGAAGCATAAGCAATCTTTCTGATCCCAAAGAAAAGTTTGCCAGCGTTGTACTTTTTGTTCAACCACGTATTCATAGGTGTATCCAGAAGTAATGCTTCCAAATATTTCCACAGAAACTACAAAAGCTACAAAGGCAGGATAACACTGTCTATCTATTAGAGCAGATTCTCACCTACAAACACTGTTTTCAACACAGTCACCACCATTAGCTGTACATTTTCTCCAGCCACCAACAAGAGCTGCGCGCCACACTCGTAGCAATCTGCAGCAGCAGAGGTGGCCCAGAGCTGTGACTGCTGAAATGCACCACTGCCCCTCTCTGTGCCCACATGCCCTGCTTGGTTTTCATCAACATCCAATTGGAACTTTTTTTTAACAAGATATTTGACAGGGGGTTCACGGTGTGCATTTTTCTTACAGTTATGCTCTATTTTAACAAACTCTAGTAAACCTGAAACTTTTTAAAAGTGAGTAAAAAGGAATGGTTTCAGTCTAATGACACACTGTGTAAAATTACCGTAAGGACAAATGAGCAACATGCCTATCACTAAGTAAATATTTGATAAAACTAACAGCAAAAAAGCTATTTGTGGCTGAATTTGGGATTATAGCTACTCAAATGTACACCTTCTTTCCTGGTACAAATGTGTAGGGAACAATATGCTTTGGTCTTTGTTTAAGAAGTTTTAATATCAAGTGCTCGATGGATTTGCCCGTTTTCAGTTTCAGTGTGTGCACGCAGAACGTATGACAAGTCTGATTACCTGGCTGTCTGCCTTCTGTCAATCTCTCTAGGCTTTCCAGACTTTTCTTGAACTTGCACTTGCTTTATATTTTACAGTTCCCTCCTTTTGGGGTTTGGTGAACTCAGCTTGGAATCTTTGCTCTGTTGGGAAAAGGCAGTCACCCGTCAATATCGAAACCAGCCATATGATTTTTGATCCATTCCTAACTCCGCTTCGCATCAACACAGGGGGAAGAAAGGTATGTGCTCTTTGTGTTCTGCTATAAAACCAAGAAGATAACAGGGAGTTACGTGCTACATATCTGGGCACGGGACAGGCAGTTAAAAATGATCTAGTTTCTGTGTAATCCAGACAATGCTGGCACTGAGATTCATAAGGATGAAACTTCTGTTGGATATATCCTGCCATAAATTAATTAGAAAACAAAACGACAACATTTACTTTAATAGATCTGAAGTATATCTTCCAAGAATAGTCGATCAAATGAAAAACAGGCTGGCAAAGATGAGCTCAGCTATAAAAAAAGTCTTATTCAGCTAAAATTAGCATGATAATTTCCTTTGAAAAGCGACTGCCATGACTGACTAGCTTATAACCTCTGTTCTGATCAATAATCTTTTTTAAAGATATGCATAGAAACCGTCCTGTTTACCCAGATTTGGGTATCTGAATAAACTGCTGTGTGAAAGCAGAGCCCTTTCTGATATGCTCATGTGCCCACGTGTGGCTCAGGAGGTGGACTGCTGGCACACCCAAGGTAGAGGCAGAAAGCAACCTTGATAAATAATTCTGCTCAAACTGGTGGAGATCGTTGTCTGAGGTGTGCGTTTGTGCCAAAATATCACTGATAGTTCCTCATCACTGATCTTTTTTTACTGCATCTAAGTTATCACAGGAGCTAAAATTTGTCTAAAAAGGTATATTAAAGATTTGTTGCTTATTTTAGGCAGACAATTCTCTTCTGCTGTTCAGTTTTCTGCAACAAAGAACAATGCAAATGGAAAAACGCTGTGACTTACAATGCTGGAACAAGCAGAAACTCTAACAAAAGGTTATTCGAAAATGATTTATCTTCTCCCGTTGTCTTGACAAATGAGATTTCTGCTGGAAACGCCATGAGATGGGAATATGCTCTGTGTTTCCTATTGAGCTTCTTGTGGTACAAGTGCACACACAACAGAATTGATGTAAACCTCCTTACAGAAGTGAAAAAAATGGTGGTATTGTTACTTACTGAAGGACAGTAATGCTTCCAGCTGTGGTCCACGTTTCAGGGGAAAATGTGCTTTTTGCCTTTTATACAGAACTGCATTGGAGCCTTTCTTTCTATTAAAAAAGAAAAGACAACAAACGTATTGATTCAAGCATTTATATAAAGAATGACATCTTCCAGGTTATTTATAAATTACAGAATGATATAACATAAAAGTCAAGAAAGAAATGACATGTAAGCGATCACTGAGCCAAAGCCAGGAGTTTCAGGATATGCAGTGACTGCAGCGGTCCTAAGAATTCAGCTGGGTTTTGTGCCAGTTTGGGATGAAGGAAGTGTCTGATTATTAATAAAATATCAGAGGCACTGAGGGCCTGGAGATGTTGTCAGAAATGAGATGTCCTTGTTGCACTCTCAAATGCTGTCCTGCTGCTGCCAGGCGGTGATGGCTTTCTATCATGCTATGAGAACAGGATTTGTTCTAGTTGTGGTTAATCTTTTTTAGAGGGATTTCTAAAATGGCTGAATCAAAATGCTCTTTTAAGGAAAAGCTGCCTTAAGATAATTCTTTCCTCATAGTTAAGGCTTCAGTGAGGAGGTGATTTGGCAGGCAGCATGTTTATGCTCACTCTTTGTAATGTTTTTTATAAAGTGGATGTATGTTTCTTATGGGCTGAAGCACTTCAGTTTTCAGGGCAATGAACCAGTTGGTATGGCAGCCAAGGAATTTCTATGACAAGACTTGACTGTGATTGTGTTGTAAACTGAAGGGTTTTATGGAACTGATCCTAAGAAAAAATGATGAATTAATAAAAAAGGAATTTGCAGGTAGGCACACAGAGGCAAAATTGTGCACATCTTCTGAAAAGGGAGCTGGCAGGAATCGTGCCATATGAGAGCAGGTAGATGAAAGGAAGCCTTCCACCTGTCTAGCCTCTTCCATCAGAAAGTTTGCTTCAGTATTAGTAATGGAAGACACTTTGGAAAACCATATTGGTTTTCCAATTCCAACTGCAACTTTTTAGACCACTTGAGAATTAAAAGCTGTATTTTCTTGTTCCTAAAGAAAAGTGAAGGTCTAAAAGGGGAGTACAAACGAACAACATTGCCATCCTCCTACCCCAGTGCCAGCAAGGGGAGAGGAGTGCAGACAGTGGCCGGTTACAAAGCAGATGACTTAACAGATACTGCTGACCTGAGGCTGAGAAGAAACTTCTTCCCAATCCATTCAGGAGCAAATGGGATGGCAATGTAATTTGCTAAGTAGATAAACCTCTTTTGATCCAATTTGCACAACAAAGTTCCAGAGAGCAATGGTAATATTGCTTTATGTGCTGTTAAACCATCGCAGTGCAGTATCAGCTCATGCAATTTACAATTCAAGTATAGTCAGATGTTATTCTGAATTGTGCTGTGTTATTTTGTATGTTTGTGCTTCTTAATTTCCTGAGAAAGTGGCTTTTCAGGTCCTCAAGGCTGAATATCATTGATACAGTTAATTGGATTTCAAGATCCAGAATCTGAGCACAAGATATTTAATGAGTTTTACATGCAGATAAATTCCCCAGAATAAATGCTGCTTTTGAGGAAACTCCCCAAGTTTCAGCTCTATCTCAGGCCCGGTTTTGTCTCTTGATTATCCGTTTTAGTGAATTGAACATGCAGCCCTTTTCAGATAAACAACCCATTTTAATAAACAATATAAACTCTTATTAATATGCAAATCACACTTCTTCACTCTGTCACAAAGAAAAATATAGACTTACTTTCTCTACTTTTTCCTTTGGATTCAGCAAGCACTGAGGCACCCAGCAACAGCTGCAATACAGCAGGATAACTTCCCTGCCGAGCTGCTGTGACAGGCAGCAAGTGCTGCCTCCAAAGCAGAGTTTCCAGCTCTCATGTAGGTACTGTTGCTGGCAGCAGATGAACAAACCACCCCGTTGTGCACTGAGCCAGCCCTCTGCTGGGATTTCCTCCCTCATTCACCACTGCTGGCAGTATCTCTTCCGCAAGATCTCTGCCTTCGTTCCCCAAAACTCGTTCCCTGATCTGTAACCCATCTCATCTCCTGATTTTCTGTGGACTTACTTTGAAGAACCCTATTTCCAAGGTTCATTAAGAGTAAATTTTCTGAAGCTCCAGTTAGGTGAGAAGCAGTCATAGACATGCAAACATAGCACTCTGTTTGTAAATTTAGAGCAGAAGTTTATCGTGGCTCTGCACATATTGGTCCAAAGCGGATCTGCGAGGTTAAGCTTTGCTGCTGTCTTGATTTGCATTCTACAATCCATAGGGGACATTTTGTTTTGCAAACCTCCTCACATTTAAAGGAAAACTTAGATTTCCCTTAGAAATTTGTAAATACGTGTGTGTATAAAACATAGAAACAAACGAGAGGCCTTAGAAGTATTCTAAATGAAATCAAGACTGAAAGGCAGCAGCAGAAATACCTGTGATGGTAGAGGCTACATCTGTGCCCAGCTGTACGCATAGGATTAAGAGCTTGAATAGCTCACGGAGCAGCAGAGCAGGGCCGTGCTTTGTTGCAGCTGGAGCAAGAGATCAGCGTGCGATAAGCTGGGCTCTGTGTGCCACTGTGTGTCCCAGGCACGGCTTCACCCACCTGTGATCTCCATGTGTGCCACTTCTGCCTTTAGATTTTCAAGCTCTTGGCAATAGTGCTCTCAGCACAACTGATGGGTTGTTAAGATTTCTTCAGGAAATCTTTTTTTCCATCTAGCATGAGCTTTGTTTCTTAGCAGTTCTTGTCCATACTTTTTTTCCCCCTTCTAAAAATTTGTTAAGTAACACATTTATTAGACACAAAGTGAATCTTGTCAACTAATTTACCTTGTAAGCAATATCCTGTGTTGCAATCATTTTAGGTCACACTTGCAGGCTTAAAGCAGCAGTTGAAAGCAGGTAAAGTTTGTTTAAAACCACTTTGTTTTTAAGATGAGGAAGAACATTGTGTCTGAGGAAACAAGCAGCTCTGTGTCTGCTGGCCATGGGCTGTTCTGTGCTTTCTCGAGCTCAGTGTGCTCAATTAAAGCTGTTCAGTAAAACCCATAAGTCTGCTTCCTTATATGGGGCATTAATGAATGCAATCACATATTATTTAAATTAATATATTTATAAATAACGGGTTCATACTATGCATCACAAGATAATGGCAATATTTAGCAATTTCTAAACTAAAATAGAGTGAGAGAAAAGAGATTTATGAATTGAAATCAGCTAAATGGTTTCTCTGCCAGCTAGTTCTGATTCCATGCTGTTCAATCAATTCAGAGTATTACTAGCATTTTTCTCAAGAGTGCAGTATATGACAACCGCCAAGCTTTGCTTTGGTGATTGCTAAAAGGACAGATACTGGTCTGAGCCATATTTCAGCACTGCAGGAATATAAAAAATGAATTGTTAGAAATGGTCCAGGAGGAATGGGTAGCAATAAGACATCAATGTCACCTGTAAACTGATCTGTGATGAATTTTTAGAGAGCTTACTAATATGATGTTTTGATTTAAAGAGGCTTTAGAAAGTCAAAAATCTACTGCAAACATCAACAGCCTTAATGAATAAAAAAATGCATATAGTGTTGCTGCTTAAATAGTTTTCTGATACAGTAATAAGTGAACAGAAAATTAAAGTAGCAGGTTAAAGTAACTGCTGCATATTAGCCCTCATCAGTCAGTATTTAGAAAAGGAAAAATGGCTGAGCACTGCTTCAGAGTTATTTAGGGAAAAGCTTTTATCTAGAGTCTGGATTTGTCTCTAGTGGTGTTACTGTTTCCTTATCACTTCAGTGATGGAATCAGTTTGGAACGTGGGGACTCAGATGGGCACCTTTGTGTTTCCCTAAATTTCTAGATGCTGATGGCAGTGGAACACCACTGAAATCATGAAGGAGACCTGAATGGCACTGGCATGCATTTCTGCATGTCCTTCACACCATCAAGGTTTTGTGGCTTCAGTACAACTCCTCTGCTTGCCTTTTAATCTGGTCCAGTGCCATAAAAGAA